AGCAACTTTTGGCAGAAACATAAAAGCCTAAAAAAACCCCACAGGGGGGCTCGGCTTGATGTAATCCCCTTTTGGCTTCCTGGACGTGACGAGCGTAGCGCTCTGCTTTGCTTTCGGGACCCGCTGGCCATGTTCATGGGAGTTTTGTAGCCTCTTTGATCTTCGCCTCTATGACGACCAGGTTTCGCAGTTCGTCGAGTTTTGCAGGGCTCGGCTTCCTCCCCAGAGCAGCTTTGGCGAGTACCGAGCTAGCCCGTCTCTTTCTTTGCAGCGTAGCTCAGCGAGACTTTTGTTGAGTCTCCGATTGGCCTCCCGCCTCGGCGTATTTCTGACCGAGTCTGCTGGTGAGTTCTTGCAACAACTCCTTGATCGTCTGAGCCTGTTTTGCTGATTCGGCCTCAAGGCGTGCTGATTTGGCAGTTATTTCCTGAAGTTGGCTATCCGAGCTGGTTCTAGCAGCTTTGGACGCTTGGATAGCTTGCTCATTAGAGTCAGCACACTGGTCCTTGAGGCGCTCTATTTCATGATCCTTTTTCTTGCATTGCCTTTGTAGACCATCAATGGTGACGTATAGGTTCTGCTCTCTTTCTTCAAGCGGGGCCTCTCATCTGCGGCTTCCCGATGATTCCTATCCTCTGGGTCAAGACATCGACTTGAGCTTGCAGCTCTTCACTGCAATTGGCGCTTGTAACGAGTGAGGGGGATGCTCCTGAGACATCCCTCTTCTGTCTCTCCACACCTCATAGTCACTAGAGACAGCCACTCGAGCTTTTCCTAGCTCTCTGTCTCCCCAAAAGACTGGTTTCTCCCATGCTTTTTCTCACGGCTAGTGAGTTGGCGATTGTGCATGGGTCTCCGAAGAAACACAGTCCTCCGAGTTCCCATATTGGGCTTTCCTATTTTCTTCAGTCATTGTAGACCCCAAATCTTGTCCGGCCTCATAATAAAGACCAGAAGACCTCCTTTTTGAAGATGGATGAAGCCTAAGAAGCCATTAGGAGAGACTATTAGGCCCCATACTAGGATAGGAGGGATTTTTGTCATAAAAATAAGGATTTTCACCTTTTAGGGTCGAGACCACCGTCTCGGATTCGGGACCGCCGTTTCACCTTGCGAAAGTGGCGAGACCGCCGTCTCGTTTTGCGAGACGGCCGTCTCACCACTCGCGAATGGCGAGACCACCGTCTCGTTCGGCGAGACGACCATCTCGCCATTTCTGCAAGGCGAGACAGCCATCTCGACCTTATCAGACGAGATGGTCATCTCGACCTTGTCAGACGAGAAGGCCGTCTCGACCTGACAGGCGCGAATCCCTATAAATAGTTGTGTCATTCCCCTTATTTCACACAGTTCTTCCATTCTCTCTCTAGTCACCTCCTCAAATTCTCTTTCTAGAATCCCTCCGAAGCATTTCCGGAGTTTCTGAGAGCTTTTTAGAGTTTTTATAGCATTTTCGAGAGATTTCGGCACTATAAAGAGTGAAGGGCTGCCAAAAAGCACCCTAGTTCTCAAGAAATTAATAGAAAGCTTGC